AGTAGGATCTTCATGCTGTTCCTTAAATGTACGCTGAACTTTCTTGTCTCTCACACTCCCCATTCTCTTGTTAAAATATTTCCATCCTTCCAGGCTGAAATTGCCTGCCTGCCTGCCAGTAAGCTCACCCTCCTCTAAACTACCTTATCATCTTGCTTGCCTCTGTTCTACGGTGAAAATGGGTGATCTCCCAGGTCCAGCTGTGAACCTAGGATTTTAACCCTAGATTTATATTCCCATTCTTCAGATGGTAAGCTTCTTGGTGAAAGAGAAGGATTCATCTTGTTTATCCTGATAAGGACGTGTAAAGCCCTTGGGAAGCCTCACATCTAGAAAGTGCTCCACAGCATTTTGTTATTCCCTGCCACTTAACTTCCAGGGCCTGTCCTGGGACTGTTCCATACCAAGGCATGAGTCTAGTTACAGATCCTGGTTCTTCCTCTCTGTATTCTAGCCTGTCCCAATGCCAGGCACAGGGTCTTGTCTGGCTGTGTTCCAAGACATCACAAATAAGTACATAGCTCACTACATGTTATCAGTGAAAACCCCTAGATTTGGCCTAAAATGGGGCCATTCATGTGGCCTAGTTATGCTAGCGTTGTTCCTATACCTAAAATGTTAGGAGATTAGACAAATATATAGTATGCTTTTTGTTGAAATTTGGTGACCATAACTAAGCTATTTTTATATCTTCAGAGGACAACCTAAAGGCCCAGAACTGCCCTGTCCTATCTTATAGAGTTGGGATCCACAGGCTTTTTCTGAAAAGGGCCAGAGAGTAAGCGTTTTATGGTCTCTGTTGTAGATACTGAACTCAGCTATTAGAGCATGAAAGCAGTCAGACATAGCTGAGAGCTGAGTTCCAGGAAAACTGGAGTGCTGTGTTCCCAAAACACTGAAATTGGAATCCCATAGAATTTCATGTGTCACAAAGTATTTCCCTTCATTTGATATTTTATCAAACATTGAAAAAATGTAAAAAATATTCTTTATTCACAAACCATACAAAACCCGTGGCAGGCCAGATACAGCCTAAAGACTGTAGCTGGCCTGGTCCCTTATCTGATATTTCTCTAGACTGGGAGTATACAAGAATCACCAACCCCAAGGGAACCTCTGTGATTTGTTCTGTGAATTCAGAGTAAAAACCTGAGATTTGGCCTTTGTAAATGTTCTGAACTGATGAGATTAGTCCAAGTTACCCTATAAAAAGGGATTTGCATCCAGGCGCAGTTGCTCACACCTGTAATCTCAGCACTTTGGGAGGCGTAGGCAGGCAGATCACCTGAGGTCAGGAATTTAAGACCAGTCTGGCCAACATGGCGAAACCCCATCCCTACTGAAAATACCAAAATTAGCCAGGCATGGTAATGCATGCCTGTAATCCCAGCTACTTTGGAGGATAAGGAGCAGAATCCCTTGAACCCAGGAGGTGGAGGTTGCAGTGAGCCAAAACTGTGCCACTGCACTCCAGCCTAGGTGACAGAGCAAGACTCTGTCTCAAAAAAGAAAAAAAAACGGGGCGGAATTTGAGGAAGAACCATGATGTACAAGCACACTGGCTTATTTCTTCTATTTAATGTTATACAAAGCTTGTCATCTACCTGTTTCATGAATGTGGCAAAGGAATTAAATCATGAGGAATTCATTTCCTAAGTGCATTGCAATTTGGCTTCTTCCTTCACTTTGATTCCCAAATCATCAGACATCTTGGGGCCACATCCAAACAAGCAGTTTTCAGGGCTTATTTTATATGACCTCTCAGAAGCGTTTTACAAAATTGACCACTTTCTTTTACTTGAAACTTCCTTTCTCTTTCTTCTCTCTCTTCCATTCACCATGACTTTTTTGTTTCTTTTTTTTCCTCCAGTCCTTTTGGCCAATTCTTCTCAGTCTCTTTCAGCATTTCCTCTTCCTCTGCTTTTTCTATAAATGTGTTTCATTCTCTAAGGTTCTATTCTGAACCATCTTCTTTTCTTCTTACTTACCCATGGTTTCAAACACTGTTTTATGCTAATTGTCACAAGTCTAGATTTCTAGCCCAAATTCCCATGCTGCACCCTAGACTCTCCATTCTGTTACTTTCTAAATGATATATTTGTATGTTTTGCAGGCTGGTACCTCAATCGAGAATGCTCCAAGCTTAAGTTATCATCTTCTAGTTCAATCTTCTCCTTATCATGAGTTTTTTACTCTGTTAGGTGGCATTAGTACCAATGCAGTTGCTCATTGTTATGGTTTAAATGTCCCCTCCAGAACTCATGTTGAAATTTGGTTGCATTGTGACAGTGTTGGGTGAGATGTTTGGGAGCAGAGCCTCATGAATGGATTAAAGTTGTTACCTCAGGGATGTGTTAGTTATTGTGGGAGTGGACTGATGAAAGATGAGTTTGGCCCTCATTTTCTCTCTGTCTCATGCCCTCACTTGCCTTTCTGCTTTCATCCATGAGATGATGGAACAAAAAGACCCTCATCAAATGGCCAAGCAGTTGCCAGTACCATACACTTGGACTTCCCAACCTCCAGAACCATAAGCCAAATACATGCCTTTTCTTTGTAAATTGCCCAGTCTGTGTTATTCTGTTTTAGCAGTTGAAAATGAACTAAGACACCCACATTATCAGTAGTAGATAGGCTCTCTCCATTCTAGGATCCTCTGGTAAGAACTGCAACCCCCTACTTACAAAGGCCATGTTTATATTATGTGACCCTTCCCCTTGCTTTGATTGGACTTGGGTGGGTGCTTAACCCAACCTAGATTAATCAGACTGTCTCCTGGGATTATCTTCAGCCATTGCTAATTCTTGAACTAGAGCTGGTACAGTTGTGTGCATGGAGAAGAGCAGAAAGCAGGTGTACAGAGAGAGAATGAAGTTGATACACAGAAAGAAGCAGAGAGAGGAAGATGTGGCCTTGGATAGAGTAATCTTGGCCCTGCTTGCTTCACTCACCACCTGCCTGTGTCAAAGCCTGCAGGGCAGCCCTTGTCCCTGGTTACCACCTGCTGGATACAAAAAGGTTTGCCCCTAAACCTTTGTAACTGATTCCTATGCAGTAGTCCCCACCCTTATCTGTAGGGGCTGCATTCCTAGACCCCCAGTGGATGCCTGAAACTTCAGATAGAACTAAACTCTGTAAGCACTATGGTTTTTCCCAAACATACATGTCTATGATAAAGTTTAATTTATAAATTAGGCACAGTAAGACATTAATGACAACAATAATAAAGTAGACCCATTATAACAATATACTGCTACAATTTCATGGATAGATGATTCATTCTTACTGAGGAAGACCTTTAACAACCTCAGCATACAATTTATATTCTTTCCTTATTAAGTTAAAACCTTTTACCTTTTCACTTAAAGGAAGCACTTTACGGCTTCTCTTTGGCATTTCCAAATTGCCAGCATCACTACTCTTGCGCTTTGGGGCCATTATTAAATAAAATAAGGGTTACCTGAACACAAGCACTATGATACTATGACAGTGAATTTGATAACGGCTGACTACTAAGTGACTAACTGGCGGGTAATGCAGACAGCCTAGATCTGCCGGTTGCAGGGATGATTCATGCCCTGGGCAGGATGGAGTGGGACTGCAAGAGATTCCATCCTGCTACTCAGAACAGTGTACACTTTAAAACTTTATGAAACTTTCTGGAATTTTCCATGGAATATTTTTGGACTGCAGTTGACCACAGGTAACTGAAACTGAAATGGAAAGGAAAACTGTGAATACGGGAGAACCACTGTATTAAATTCTACCTATTGAATTAGCTGACATGAGTTTTGTGTTCCTGGCTGGATCTTGACTGATGTAGCTGTCTTTGCAAATAAGCACATACAACTCTACATCACTTAAGACCTGCGTATGTTCCACTGTATGAATGTTCTATGATTTATTTAATCATTTGGCTATTGATAAACATTTGTTTCTAATTATTTTGCTACTACAATAAGTGGTATGATGACCATCTTTGCATATGTATGTATTTCTACAGGATAAATTTCTAGAAGTAAAATTGCTAGGTCAAAGAGAGTCTGCATTTTAAATTTATGATAATATTGTCAAATTTATCTCAAAAGTTTGTACCAAATAATACTTTAACAACTGTGCATTAGAGTACCTGCTTCTCTACACCCTGCTCAACTTTTTGCGAATCTGTCAGTTTTGTTTGTTTGAGTATTTGTTTTGAAACAAAGTCTCACTGTGTGGCTCAGGCTGGAGTGCAGTGGCATAAAAGTATTTCACTGCAGCCTCCACCCACTGGTTTCAAGTGATTCTCCTATGTCAGCCTCCTGAGTAGCTGGAACCACAGATGTGTGCCACTATGCCTGGCTAATTTTTAAATTTTTTGTAGAGATAAGATTCACCATATTGCTTAGGCTGGGCATTTTATTGTTTTGCTTTGCATTTTAAAAAATTCTGAGTTAGATTATTTTTTTATAGACTTATTGTCCATCTGCATTTTTTTTCTGTGAACTGCCATGTAACTGGTTTTATTTTTTGCTTTTCTTCGCTTAATATTATATGTCATGAACTTTATCTAGAATAATTAAAAACATCATCAATAAAAACTGCATATTATTTCATTCTATGATTATACCGTAATTATTATTTTATTATTGGACACTTAAATTGTTTCCAATTTTTCTTTTCTCTTTTCTTCTTTTATTGAGACAGGGTCTTGCTCTGTCACCCAGGCTGGTGTGCAGTGACATGATCACAGCTCACTGCAGCCTCGAACTCCCCAGCTCAAATGATCCTGTCACCTTAGCCTCCCAAGTAGCTGGGACTACAGGCACGCACCACCACACCTGGCTAATCTTTGTATTTTTTGTAGAGACAGGGTCTTGCCGTATTATCAAGGCTGGTCTTGAACTTCTGGCCTCAGGTGATCCTCCCACCTTGCCCTCTCAAAGTCCAGGGATTACAGGTATGAGCCAACATACCTGGCCCAATTTCTCTTAACATTTATACATTCTTTTTTTTCCTCTGGCAGCAAGGATGATTGAGAACAGGAACGGCTCAGGATGTTCACAAGCAAGTCATGAATAGCTAGGAATTCCCTTTAAGAGCAAAGGTTTTATCATCAGAGAGACCTACCTGCAGGGTGAGTAACTTCTCTAAGTTTCCATTTCCTTCTCTGAGGACTAAATGAGAAACTGCATGTAAAGTAGTTTGCACAGTCCCTGGTACATGATAAATGAAAAATGGGCATGTATTTTATGAAAAACATTTTGAAAGATACTTTTGATCTGGAATTCTTTTGTTGGTTTTTCAGGATTAGCATATACTGAGGCTGGGAAGTGTTTGTCATATCCTATTTTCTGGATAGCCACTGTGGAGTCCTGCATTGTTGTCATTTTCTAACTGGACTTGTGAAGGGCCCAGAAAACTCTTGACCATTGGGATATTGGGAACCATTGACCGGGAATGTCATGATGCAGATGGAGGCTTCCAATACCAGTGGCCCAGTGCTGTATTCTAAGTAAAATAATTTTTGTGTTTTTTTTTTTTTTTTTCTTTGAGATGGAGTTTGGCTCTTGTTGCCCAGGCTGGAGTGCAATGGCATGATCTTGGCTCACCGCAACCCTCGCCTCCTGGGTTCAAGCAATTCTCCTGCCTCAGCCTCCCGAGTAGCTGGGATTCCAGGCATGAACCACCATACCCAGCTAGTTTTGTATTTTTAGTAGAGACAGGGGTTCCCCATGTTGGTCAGGCTCGTCTCGAACTCCCGACCTCAGGTGACCTGCTCACCTTGGCCTCCCAAAGTGCTGGGATTATAGGCATGAGCCACACAGCACCTGGCTACTTTTTGTCTTAACAGTGGCTCTCACTGATTATTATGAGTTACAGATTGTTATGATAACCACTGGGGTGGCATAGTGAATCAGAAGATAACTATCAAGGGTGTCTTAATGTGGAGAGGATCTTGGGTGTCACAGTCTTCTGGGAAGACTACACCTGGGAGATGCTGTTGGGCATTACAAGGTCATCGGAGTTTTCGTAGATCCTTCAAACTTACTAGTGACCCTTGGAAAGTTGAGACTAAGGAGAGTGTTGATCTAGTCCTAGTAACATATTTCTTCAGATTTGATACTAATTTCTCATTTTGTAGATGAGTGAATTCAGGGTGGGTGACATGACAGGAGAGAGGTTGTAATGGTATAAATGCTTTGCTTCCTGTAAGTTGAGTGTCCCTTGCTAAATGGGAGGGGTTAACACTTATAAATTCGTAGATGAGAAATTATTGAGAAATAAAGGAGGTGTGTGTCTGTATGTGTGTGCATGTGTGTGTGTGCATGTATGTGTTTAAAGTTTTTGATACATGTTGGCAGGACTTAGAACCTAGTAAGTGTTCAATTAATATAAGTTCTATTTGTCCAGACATGGTGGCTCATGCCTATAATCCCAGCACTTTGGGAAGCTGAGGTGGATGGACCTCTTGAGGCCAGGAGTTCGAGACCAGCCTGGCCAACATCATGAAACCCCATCTCTACCAAAAATACAAATATCAGCCAGGCATGATGGTGCACACCTGTAGTCCCAGCTACTTGGGAGGCTGAGGCAGGAGAATCTCTTGAACCTGGGAGGAGGGGGTGCAGTGTACCAAAATTGTGCCACTGCACTCCAGCCTGGGCAACGAAGTAAGACTCTGTCTTAGAAAACAAAACAAAAACATATATATGCTATTTTTAACAGCCTTACTGAGGTATAATTTATATGCTGTTATGGATTGAATTGTGTTCCCTCCAAAACATATATGTTGAAGTCCTAAACCCTAGTGTCTCAGAATGTTAAGTGTTTGGAGATAATATCTAAACATCTTTAGCATGCATGTGTATATCTATATGTAATTAAACTGAAATGAGGTCATTAAGTTGGGCTCTAATCCAGTATGACTGGCATCCTTACAAAAAGAAGAAATTTGAGCACAGCCACGTACAGGAGGAATATGATGTGAAGACAAAGGGAGAAGACAGCCATCTATAAGCCAAGGACACAGGCCTGGAACAGATCCTTCTCTCCCAGCCTTCAGACAAAACCAACTCTGCAGACTAACACCTTGACTTTCAGCCTCCAGAACTGCAAGAAAATACATTTCTCCTGTTGAAGCCACCCAGTCTGTGAAACTTTGTTATGGTGGAAACTAACACCTAGCAAACTAACACACATGCCATAAAATTCACCCATGTTAGCATGTAAGTCAGTGATTTTTAGTAAATTTGCAGAGTTCTGCAACCACTACCACAATCTGATTTTAGAGTATTTTCATCACCTCTAAAGAAGCCTTTTTGCCATTTGCAGTCACTCCCTACTCCCACTTTCAGCACCAGGCAACCACTCACCTTCTTTGTGCCTCCATAGATTTGCCTTTTCTGGGCTTTTCATATAAATAATCTCCAATGATTAGGAAATTCTACATGTTGAGAGTCAGCTCATTCTATATCCTTCTCAGCTTCTTATTAAAACTTATAATAATGAGCCCAAATCTACTGCCCTGTAACTTATTCTACACAGTTAACATATTCTTATCATAGTTTATTTGTAGCAGAAGTCAGGCAAAAATTATTATATGTGCCACATAATTGTTGGAGTAAGGATCGAAATATTCAGTCAAAATGACCATTGTCATTATAATTTTAAGAAATAACCATTTATTTTTAGCAATTGATAAGGAAAAAGATTGACAAAAGAAACTATAAGCGAGCATGCTATTTTGAGTTGCCAGAGGATAGAAACAGCCCAAGAAGAATTTCAAGAGAACTGCTAATGAGAAACCTTCCTTCGTGAGACTTGAACTGACAAGCTATTCCCCCGGGCTGCTTGAGCACATCTCATAACTAATTGGGACATTCCATCAAGACCACATGCACAGGGTCACAGTGTAAATGGCAGAGCATCCAAACCGCCAAAGAAAACGTTGAGGCTGCACAAAAAAGGGACTTTGTGCAATGCCCCTTTCATTGAAAAAAATCTATTTAAATGAAATCTATCTAGGACATTATGTCAAAACTGCAACTGGAAAAATCTGCTTTTCTCACGTGGAAGAACTGCCCCTATTAAACCAAAGTAACTACAAACAAAAATTATGTATAGCTATTGGCCAGGCGTGGTGGCTCACGCCTGTAATCCCAGCACTTTGGGAGCCTGAGGCGGGTGGATCACCTGAGGTTGGGAGTTCGAGACCAGCCTGATCAACATAGAGAAGCCCTGTCTCTACTAAAAGTACAAAAAATTAGCCGGGCGTGGTGGTGCGCGCCTGTAATCCCAGCTACTTGAGAGGCTGAGGCAACAGAATATCTTGAACCCGGGAGGCGAAGGTTGCAGTGAGCTGAGCTCATGCCATTGCACTCCAGCCCATGCAACAAGAGTGAGACTCTATCTCAAAAAAAAGAAAGAACTTATGTGTAGCTGTGCATATGCATGTATGTGTATATCTATAAGAAACCATTTAACAATATGTATTAAGCACCTGTGTGTGCCAAGTACTGTTTTTTGTTGTTTGTTTTCGTGACAGAGTCTCACTGTGTCACCCAATCTGAAGTGCAATAGTGCAGTCACATCTCACTGCAGGCTTGATCTCTCTGTCTCAGGTGATCCTCCCACCTCAACCTCCTGAGTAGCTGGGACTGCAGGCCAATGCCACCATGTCTGGCTAATTTTTGTAGTTTTTGTAGAGGTGGGGTTTCACCGTGTTGCCCAGGCTAGTCTCGAACTCATGGGCTCAAGCAATCCTCCCACCTCAACCTCCCTAAGTGCTGGGATTACAGGCGTGAGCCACCATGCCAGTCCCAGGTACTGTTATAAGTGCTGTGAATAAGCAAATGTCCCTACATTGTAGTGCTAACATTTTAGAAGGGAAAGTCAAAAAATAAGCAAAAGTATAATAACAAGTTAGTTAATTACAGTGTTAAGTTAGAAGGTGTTACAGGATATGGGAAAAAGAAAATTTGAACAGGGGAAGAGAGTGAGAAGTGCTGAAGGGGAGTGTGGACAGGGCTGCAACTTTAAATGGAGTGCCCTATGCAGGCCTTATTGAGAAGGTGGCATCCGAACAAGACATGAAGGAGGTAAAGGAGGGCTTAGGCAATTTTCTCTGGAAATAATGATCCAGGCAGAAGGAACTTCCAGGGCAAAGTCTCTGAAGCAAAAGCATTCCTGGTGTGTTTGGGGAGCACCGCAGAGGCCAATGTGGCCAAAGCCGAGTGAGCAAAGGGAAGGTAGCAGATGAGGTAATGGTGGATACTGGGGAACCAAGCCATGGAGGGGTTCGGGATTCATTGCAAGGACTTTGGTTTTTATTCCAAGTGAGACAAGAAAGTCAAAGAGCAACATGATCTGACTTCAGTTAGGAAAAGATCCCTCTGGCTGGTTCAGAAAGGAGCAAGGGTAGAATCAGGGCTGAGGGACAGGAGCCCATTTCGGAGTCCAGACACGAGGTGATGAGGGTTGGGAGCAGTACACTTAATATGTTTGTGCAACTAGATTCATTTATCTAGCAAATACGCATAGCCACTATGCCATGTGCTGTGGTGCTGTGGCCATCAACCTGGTCACAGTCTCTCACAACGGAGGAGTTGACATGGATGGAAGGTTCCCTGCAGGTCAGGCTGGCTCTAAGCACTTGAAAAGTATTCTCTCAGTGAACCTGAACTCTATCTCAAGGGCTCAGGTGCCACTATTGTCCTCATTTAATGGTGGGGAAAGTCAAACACTGAGAGAGTTGGCAGCCCAAAGTCATGCAATCGGGCACGTCAAGATTCAAGTGCACAGGCTTGGGCTACAGAGTGCCCTCCCTGAAGATGGCGGGTGTGATGAGGGTTATAACAGGATGATGGGAGGGAGAGCAGGAGGGCCACCTGGAGGAGGTGATGTTGAAGCTGAGGCTTTATAGGAGTTAGCCAGAAGAAGAGTGGATATAGGGAGGAGAGAGTGCAGCGGTGGAAGGGGGAAGGAACAGCATGTGCAAAGAAAGACCTAGAAGTAAGAAAGCAGGACATCAGAAAGACAGAGAAAAAGAAACAGATGTTGTTGGATCCTAAGTGTGCTAGGGGTGGTGACACAGAATGAACCAGAAACACTGGCAAAGAGTAGAAGTTTGGGTTAATTAAATCTATTGACCAAAAATCTACTGAGCTAATGCATACAAATTGCATATTGGATACTTTTTATTCATTTGCAGAACTCAAGTATCCAAACAATGATTGCTTGTTCTGAAAGAGAGAACATTTTAATTTTAAACTTTTTTTAAAGAGATAGGGTCACCCAGGCTATAGTGCAGTGGCATGATCACAGTTCATTGTAGCCTCAAGTTCCTGGGCTCAAGTGATCCTACTTCCTCAGCCTCCCCAGTAGCTGGGACTATAGGAACATGCTACTGTGACTGGCTAATGTTAAAATGTTTTTGTAGATATGGGGTCTCACTTTGTTGCCCAGGCTAGTCTGAAACTCCTGGCCTCAAGTGAATCTCCCATCTTAGCCTCCCAAAGCCCTGGAATAGCAGGTATGAGTCACCATACCCAAAGAGTACATTTCTTTCTTTTTCTTTTTTTTAAACCATCTCACTCTGTCGCCAGGCTGGAGTGCAGTGATGCAATCTTGGCTCACTGCAAACTCCACCTCCCAGTTCAAGCAATTCCCCTGCCTCAGCCTCCCAAACAGCTGGGACTACAGGGGTGCCCTACCATGCCCAGCTAATTTTTGTATTTTTTGTAGTGACAGGGTTTCACCATGTTGACCAAGGATGGTCTCAATCTCTTGACCCTGTGATCCACCCTCCTGGGATTACAGACGTGAGCCACCATGCCGGGACCCAAGAGTACATTTCTTATTGCCCCCAAAATTGGAAAAATTATTTAGTCTTAAGTGATACAGGAATAGGAAAAAATTCAGATTCCACAAACTCTATCCACTTCTGTCCAGAACATTTTGTTGACTTTGCTTCAGAATAAGATGGGACTTCCTGGGCATATAATGAATGCCTGAAGGTAGGACAATGCACTGACTTCTTAAGCACAGAATCCCCTGACTTCCAAAGTGAGACCTGGCTTGGCCCACTGAGATATGCCCAGACTTTGAAGCCAGATGGATTTGAGATTAACTGGGGTGATGTAGTTGATTGCTCATCAGTGGCACTGGGAATGAATTCGCCCTGCCTTGTACTTATGTGGCTTTCTTTCTCAGAGGAAATGTTGCCGTCAGTTCTTTTGGGGATATCAACAACTTGGCAAGAAAGAAGGTTTCCATCAATGTATTATAGTGATTGAGGGGCAAAAAATCTGAGAAATGCCACCTAAATTCCTGCAGGATGCTTGCAGGTGTTCGCAAAGAACATAAACTGAGCAATTCAAAAAGCCACAGAATCATGCATGCTGAGTGTGGCACACTCAGCTACATAAGGAGCAGCACTTTGACCTAGAAGCCAGGGACCGGGAAGGCAGTAAGATAGAAAGAAACAGGGGATGTTGATTCCCCTGTTGCCCTTTCCACCTATCTACTCAGTAACTCTAACTTACGTTGTTCAGTGGGCAAAAGTCCAGTGTACTCAGTAGCTTCAAATCAACATTTAGTGTCAAAAAGGTGTTTGAAGCCAGGTGCGGTGGCTCAAGCATGTAATCCCAGTACTTTAGGAGGCTGAGGTGGGCGGATCACCTGAGGTCAGGAGTTCAAGACCAGCCTGGGCAACATGGTAAAACCCCATCTCTACTAAAAATACAAAAATTTGCTGGGTGTGGTGGCACATGCCTGTAGTCCCAGCTACTTGGGAGGCTAAGGTGAGAGAATCTCTTGAACCTGGGAGGTAGAGGCTGCAGTGAGCTGAGATCGTTCCCCTGCACTGCAGCCTGGGCAACAGAGCAAGATCCTGTCTCAAAAACAAACAAACAAACAAAAAGGTATTTGGAGCAAGCAGTGGACCCAGTGACAGTAACAATTTCAAAGCAAGTAGAGATCCAAAGGCAAAGATGGGAGAGGAACAGCCTCAATGCATAGGAAAACATGGCTGTAACTACGAAAGCCAAGACTGTGTGTAGGGACAGGTGAGGGAAAGGGATCCCTGCCTGTCAGGGATCCATCCATTTCACACATGGATGCTGAGAGAAAGATGTCTGAGAGGGCGGTGGGTGAGAACAGTTGTGGCCAACTGGCCAGGGAATCACAGGCAGAAACATCAACCTTTTAAGATGCCATGAGCATTGCTGCCTGAAGGTGGCATCTCTCACTCTGAAGAATTCCTGTGAAAATTAAGAAGCCTTGCAATACATTTTTGGAAGGTCAGTTCACATCTGTTTTCTATTTGTCATGTTCTGTCAGCACTTCTGTGAGAACTGAGCCATTACACCAGCCTTGGAAACCAGAGGCAGCTGGAGCTTTCAGGCCTGGCATCTCCCAGGCCCGTGGTCCCACCTCAGTGGGGGATGAGTGGGAAACGCTGTGCGTCCCAGCTTCAGTTCTCTGTATGTGCCACTGCCACCATCGCTCACCTGCAGAGTGCTTCAAAGAGCAAACAGGCTCTAAGAATTCAGCCTGGTGAATCCATTGTTCTCCTCCCCATAAAACAACAAACAACTTAGAGCCTTTCCAGTCCTCTGATGTGTTTAGTTTGTTATCTAGCAAGCAAGAAAAAGAAAAAGATATTAAAAATAAAAAAATAAAAAATATATATAAAAAAATAATAATAAAAAAATTAAAAAAAATTAAAAAAAAAAAAGAAAAAGATATTCTCCCAAATTCTATGCAATTTACAGTCCTCCAGCTATGGAACTGGGATTTGCCCAATAGGCAAAGCAACTGATCCCAGGGAAAAATCCAGAACTCAACAACTCAGCACTCAGAGTGGCCTGGTGATGGTTATCAGAATGGTGTTTCCAAATGGTGCTTATCAGTGTGCAGAGGCATTTATCACCAGTAGGAACAGCGTTCCCTGGATGCGGTTCAAAGGGCAGTCCAAGAAGCATGTGGGTCACATTCCTGCCCATCTCCCTGCAGCCCTCCCACGCCAGTAGGTAACCTGGACTTGCTTCACCAGGGTTGGGGTTCGCGATGACAAGCCATGTATGACAGGCTACTTCCCTCAGATCAGTGTGTAACAATTGATGCCCAGTGCTTAATTTTAGCCATAAGAATGTTTATGATGAGAGATGGAAGGTCAATACCTAAGCTGGTCGGCCAGGCGTGGTGGCTCATGCTTGTAATCTCAGCACTCCCAGAGGTGAAACTCCATCTCAAATAAAAAAATAAGATAAAATACTTAAGTTGGTCATGGCTTAAAATTTTTTTTAACTTTTTTTTTTTTTTTTTTGAGACAGGATCTCATTCTGTTGCCCAGACTGGAGTACAGTGGTGTGATCACAGTTCACTGCAGCCTCAACTTCCTCCCACCTCAGCCTCCCAAGTTGCTTGGACTACAGGTACATACGCCGTCACACCTGGCTAATTTTTTGATGTTTTGTTGAGACAGGGTCGCACTATGTGGCCCAGGCTGGTTTTGAACTCCTTAGCTCAAGTAATCCTCTCACCTCAGCCTCCCGAAGTGCTGGGATTATAGATGTGAGCCACCATGCCTGACTAGTCAGCCCTTAACTTATCAAGATCCTGGGTGATTACTCTGAGGCTTCTGAGCAGATGGGAAAGTATGACCAATGCCTAAACATAAGGCTGCCTTGGTAGGAGCCTAAATCCTGTGACTCTACAGAAATCAGTTGCTTATCAAGCCTAATTATTTGTGTTCTCCACTAGTAATTCTGTGTTGTTTTAGAACTAGCTTTAAAATGAAGAAATACTTAATTTTATTGATCACTACCCATGTGCTGTGTTTCTGTGACTATTTATTGCTGTTTCTGTAAAAACAACAGCAGCCACTTGTTACTGCAGAAATGGTCCCTCTGGAAATCAGCAGCACTTAATTTAATGCTGGCATTTTTGTTGCATGTCTCCCCAAAGATGCTTGACTTAATATTCTTACAATAGAAAAAAAAAAAAGCAATAAAAGCTTTTGAAGCCAGATGTCCCTTAAAAAAAACTGCTGATGGGGAAATCTTTTCTCACATAGAGATTTTAGTTAAGATGATCAAATGAAATAAGCTATATTTAAAGTTTCTGGCTCTTTCACTTACCTTAGTCAAATAAAGCTTGTGTATTTTAGAGATGATATCAAAGGTTGTTCTTCTGACAGAGAGATTCTGGGGATTGTCTTACATTAGGGAACCCTTTTAGCAGTGACTTCAGCTTTGGCAGGTGATAATGCTGTTCAAGTCATGTTCAGTAAATGGAAGAGTTCCAAAATCTGTCGTTTCTGGGCTGAAGATTCTATGCTTGCAATATTTATAAGACACTACTTACTAGCCAGCCTGGCCAGTAAAGTAACATGGTGAAACCCCATCTGTACTAAAAATATGAAAATTAGCCAGATGTGGTAGCGCATGCCTGTAATCCCAGCTACCAGGGAGCCTGAGGCAGGAGAATTGCCTGAACCCAGCAGGCAGAGGTTGCAGTGAGCCAAGATCATGCCACTGCACTCCAGCCTGGGTGACAGAGTGAGACTCTGTCTCAAAAAAAGAAGACATCGTTGACTGGTTTTCTGATCTGCACCAAATCTTGACTGTCAATTTCTTCTTTTTTAAATGTCTGTGGTAAACACATGTTTATCTCAAACATTCCTTTATCAACAAAGGAATGTATGTGTTGGAGGGAGTCAGCAACCAAGAATTGGAGTAATTTGTTTTTTTCTCCTACATATTTCCGTTGGTAGAATCTATCCTTGTGTGATAGCATTAACTCTCATCTGTTTCATAGCAATCTAAAACCTACATAATCTAAATGTATTTGAGCTAATCCTTCAACTTTGCCACCATCATCATAATTGCCAATAAGTTGTAAATGTAGCTGGCTTGAGCCAGGCGCAATGGTGCATGTCTGTAGTCCTTGCTTCTTGAGGGGCTGAGGCAGGAGGATCACTTGAGCTCACTCAAGAGTTCCAGTCCAGCCTGGGCAAGATAGTGAGACCCCATCTCCTGAAATGTAAATATTATATATATAGTATTAAGAAACTATATATATGTAACTTAAGCCATATATATATATACACAAACTAAATACATGATATATATAGTATTAAGAAAGTATATATATGTAACTTAAGCCATATATATATATACACACACTAAATATATTATATATATAGTATTAAGAAACTATATATATGTAACTTAAGCCATATATATATACACACACACACTAAATATATTATATATATAGTATTAAGAAACTATATATATGTAACTTAAGCCATATATATATATACACACACACACTAAATATATTATATATATAGTATTAAGAAACTATATATATGTAACTTAAGCCATATATATATACACACACTAAATATATTATATATATAGTATTAAGAAACTATATGTATGTAACTTAAGCCATATATATATATACACACACACACTAAATATATTATATATATAGTATTAAGAAACTATATATATGTAACTTAAGCCATATATATACACACACTAAATATATTATATATATTATTAAGGAACTATATATGTAACTTAAGCCATATATAGATATACACACATTAAATATTATATATATAGTATTAAGAAACTATATATATGTAACTTAAGCCATATATATATATACACACACACTAAATATATTATATATATAGTATTAAGAAACTATATATATGTAACTTAAGCCATATATATATACACACACACACTAAATATATTATATATATAGTATTAAGAAACTATATATATGTAACTTAAGCCATATATATATACACACACTAAATATATTATATATATAGTATTAAGAAACTATATATATGTAACTTAAGCCATATATATATATACACACACACACTAAATATATTATATATATAGTATTAAGAAACTATATATATGTAACTTAAGCCATATATATACACACACTAAATATATTATATATATATTATTAAGGAACTATATATGTAACTTAAGCCATATATAGATATACACACATTAAATATATTATATATATAGTATTAAGAAACTATATATATGTAACTTAAGCCATATATATATATACACACACACTAAATATATTATATATATAGTATTAAGAAACTATATATATGTAACTTAAGCCATATATATATATATACACACACACTAAATATATATATAGTATTAAGAAACTATATATATGTAACTTAAGCCATATATATATATACACACACACACATTAAATATATTATATATATAGTATTAAGAAACTATATATATGTAACTTAAGCCATATATATATATACACACACACACTAAATATATATATAGTATTAAGAAACTATATATATGTAACTTAAGCCATATATATATATATATACACACACACACTAAATATATATATAGTATTAAGAAACTATATATATGTAACTTATGCCATATATATATATATATATATATATATGAGGCTTAAATTTTACTTTGGTCATTTCCCTTGCTTACTTCTGCTCATTCTTCCTTTAGTTCCCAGTTCAAACATCACCCTCTCTGAGGCCTCACTTTCCTGTTCTCAGTCATCCTCCATGAGTAAACCTTCCCTATGCTTTGTGTGTACATCTATTGTGCTCATCCTACATTACTTTTTTTTCTTTAGAGACAGGGTCTCACTCTGCTGCCCAGGCTGGAGTATGGTGGTGGGATCATGACCCACTGCAGCCTTGACCTCTTGGGCTTAAGACATCCTCTTGCCTCAGCCTCCTGAGTAGCTGGGACTACAGTTGTGCCCCAACACGACTGGCTAATATTTTAAATTTTTTTATAGAGATGGGGTCTTGCTGTGTTGCCCAGGCTGGTCTTGAACTCCTTCCTGGTCTCAAGTGATCTTCCTGCCTGTGCCTCCCAAAGTAATGAGATTACAGGAGTAAGCCACAGCTCTTGGCCTCATCCAACTTTGTAGTCATGTCTTCATGTGTCATTCTCATTAAGTTGAATGAAGACAGGGACTATGCCTCATTCATCTGTGCCTGCCAGGCCCTGGCTCCATGCCTGACATTATAGAAGGTTTATGTAAATAGTTGTGAAGGAAAGAATGTCATGTGTCGAGCACTCCAATGGGACAAAGGATAGAGAAGGAGTCAGTCCCTACTCTCAAAGAGCATACAATACAGTGAGCCAGAAAAGACCTGGCCATAAATACAATGCAAGAATGCATGTGACAGGTGGCATTGCCAGTAAGACATTTGAGAAGGGCATCAGTGAATGCTGGGAGAACCTTCCAAACAATAGACCTGCATCAGCAAAGGAAGAAAGCATGAGGTTTTTTTAAGTTGCCCAGGTGATGTTAGATAGGTGTCAAAAAGCAGTAGGAGATAAGGTTGGAAATCTGGCTGGGCCTGGGTGGTTGAAGGTTAGAACTTTTGAAAATTCTTCTTCAAGTGATAGAGATCCACTAACAGTCTCTTAAGCACAAAGAGTGATGTGGGAACGGTGGATTGTCATTGCTTTGAGGGTAAAATGCAACCAGATTGTTGAGAAGAAAGTGGACAAGAATCCTGACTAATCATCATGTCCCATTCTCTCAGCTACTGAATAGAGAGCAGGAGAAAGAGCATGATCTCAGCTCACGGCAACCTCTGCCTCCCGGGTTCAAGCGATTCTCCTGCCTCAGCCTCCTGAGTAGCTGGGATTACAGGCGCGCACCACCATGCCAGGCTAATTCTTTTGTATTTTTAGTAGAAACAGGGTTTTACCATGTTGGTCAGGCTGGTCTCAAACCCCTGACCTAGTGATCTGCCCCACCTTGGCCTCCCAAAGTCCTGGGATTATGGGCATGAGCCACCACACATGGCCCACAGCAATCTTTTAAAAAGATACTTTTTCCAGGATGCAAGGAAGGACATTAGGATGAGAGGCAGGAGGCAAGGAGAGCAGTTGGGAGGCCGGGTGTTATAAAGGTCTGAAGAAATGCTGCGGAGGTCCAAGGAAAGGGATGTGCAGAGGAAAGGGTCACTGTGAGAACTCCATCAACAGTTCATTAACTGAAAGGAGCCTGGTTTGGTTACGGGGAAGAGACAGAGGCAAGATGACAAGTTGTGTTTCAGATAATATATATAAGGTGCTAGAAACACATCCAGGAGGATATTTCCAGCAGATCATTGAAATTGTGTGAAAAGAATATGAGGGAGAGACAGGGACAGAGGGAAGTTTGTTAGCTCTTCACAAAAAGGGATGGATGGCAAAAGCCACATGACTTCACTCATCCCATGAAGATAGGTGGGATCCTTGCTGCACAACTGCAGGACCAAACCTTAGGAAAAGGCTTCACTTAGGAGGTAGTAGGAACACAGCCAGCAAAATGGTCAAAGGTGATAAATATCACGTTATGTGAACTTTAACACAATAAAAAACACTGGGGGAAAAAAGAGACCCATTAGCTACCACTCCCTTCCCCTCCATCCCCTGCCTCCTGGCCCTCAGTGCCCACCAGTCTACTTTCTGTCTCCATGAGTTTGCCTGTTCCGGATGCTTTGCATAGATGGAATCATGGTTGCCTTTGAGGTCTTTTGTGTCTTTCACTTGGCATAGTGTTTTTAAGGTTTGCCCATGTTGTGGCTGCCATCACTACTTAATTTCATTGACAAATAGTATTCCATTCTATGGATATGCCACATTTTGGTTTTCATTTTTGGAGGGATGGGGTCTTGCTATGTTACCCAGGTTGGTCTCAAACTCCTGGCTTTAAGTAATCCTCCCACCTCAGCCTCTCAAGTAGCAGAGATTACATTTGTGAGCCACAGCACACAGCTCTGATATGCCACATTTTGTTTATGTACCTGTCAGTTGATGGACATTTGGTTTGCTTCCACCTTTTGGTATTATAAATAATGCTGCAACCAACGTTCCTGTACAAAAAAAATATATACTAAGAATCGTCATATGAAAAGGTTATCAATGAACATGAAGCCAAAAGTTGTAGGGAAAAAAAATTATAAAGGTGTATCAGACAATTACTTAGTAAAAACATTATTTTGTTAAATTTTATAATGTTTTTATATTTGTCAGCTATTAAAATGATATATTATATCATGCTTTCTTTTCTATTGCAAATTCGGGTTCACCATTGGACCTTAAAAAAAATGGCATTAGGAATATAAGAGAACCAGAAACATAAGGTGTAAGGAAGCCAAGCTGGGTGTAGTTTCTAGAGAGGTGGTGAGGCGGTACAGAGAGTTCAGGGCAGTGGAGATGGAGCAAACACCTGTGCATCTCATGACTAAGAAATAAATCACCAATGACTTTCAAGAGGGCACTTCCAGGTGAAAGATAAGGACAAAACCACAACTCTAGGAGAATGCAAATTCGAATGCTTACAGGAAGGATACTCTGACAACCTGGTGACCACATGCCCCACCCAAAGGTAGTGCCAGCAGCTGTGCCCATATCATTGTTGCCATGTAGAAAAAGGTGGCCCAGACCAGTCAGCTGTGTGATCGTTATGGAAAAGACAGGAATTCTCAGTTTTAAGTGAAATTTTTCACTTTTAAAAACACTGTGAAGGTCAAGTAAAACGCCCCAATAGGCTCTATCTGGTATTGGAGCTGCCAGTTCTGCAATCCCTGCTCTAAGGGCTTGGCTTGAGGCATTGACAACAGGACAGGAATCTTTTGAAATGTAAGACAGCGCAAGGGTATCCAGTCTGATGGCTGTGTTAGGGTTGGGAGGAGACCAGAGTGCTAATGGGTGTCAAAAGGAAGATAGAAAATTCTGGAGAGAGAGGTCCAAGGAGGTGGCGGAGGACGTGAGATCCTTAGCGAGAAGAGAGACCTTTTCCTTTGAGATAAGTGGGATGAAGAGAGTGAGCAATAGACATGTTAAGTGTTGAGAATGAGGGTCAAAGTGAATGAAGGAACATCGAAGACCCTGAAATTAGTATCTCAATGAACTCTAAGTAGAAGTTACGCTCTCAGGTCCTCACTTCCAAGATGACAAAGAAAAGAAGAAACAGAAAGGTATGGTGGCTCATGCCTGTAATCCCAGCACTTTGGGAGGCTGAGGTGGGCAGATCACAAGTCCAGGAGTTTGATACCAGCCTTGTCTGTACAAAACCTTGTCTGTACAAAAAATACAAAAATAGCCAGGCATGGTGGTGCATGCCTACAGTCCCAGCTATGTGGGAGGCTGAGGCGGAAGGATCACTTGAGCCCAGGATATCAAGGCTGCAGTGAGCCAAGATCGTGCCACTGTACTCCAGCCAGGGTGACAAAGCATGACCCTGTCTCAAAAAAAAAAAAAAAGAAAAGAAAAGAAGAAATAATGGTTGTGCCAAAATGGACCAAGACCACACACAGCCTATTCTCTATACAGCCACACCCAATGTGTACCCAAGGACAAGGCCATTAAGCTCGTCATTAAAAACAAAGTACAGTCCATAGCCATCAGGGCTATTTCTGAAGTGAGTGTCTTCCACATCTGTGCTTCCCAGCTGTATGGGAAACTGCATTGTGATATGAGCTGTGCCATTTGTGGCAAAGTAGTCAGAAGTCATTCTTGTGAAGCCCAGCAGGATCCAATACCTCTCCCAATTTAGACCCACAGGTGCTGCTCCTTGACCTCCAAGAAAGCCTGTAAGGTGTTTTCAGTCTTAAAAATGGAAAACTATCCTCTGGAAAAAAAATAAAATAGCAATCATACTTCTTTAAAAAGTGGACATTAAGATCATCTGCTGAGGATGAGAGAGACAAAGGCTGGACTTTGGGCTGAGGGAGGACGAGGAGTGTCTGAAACAGTCCCCAGAGTCAGGATCTAACCAGCAGCAAATCAAACCAATACAGACCTGGCTGAGGTTGAAAGCACACAACTATAGGGATTTTTCACTTCATTATCACTTCTTGAGTGGCTGCTTTATTCTGGGTACCGGGCCAAACTCTAGAGATTTCCAGTCCAGTGAAGGAGAAAGATGAAGAAACAGGGATGTATATGTCATAGAAGGGGTAGAAACAGGACACTTGAGAAAACAGAGGAGGAACATCTTGGGAGGCTTTCTGAGGAGGAGACATTTAAGTTTTTATTTGAAAGATAAGTTGTAGTTGCTATGAAAACAATGCGGAAAGCCAGAAGAGACAATCTATGCAAAGCACTAGACGAAGCAACGAGCACGGGGCATTCAGAGAATCTCGGCTAATTCCACAAATCTGAAACAGAGTGCGTTGGTAGATTGGGCGGGAGTAAAATTGAAGAGCTGACACAAAGAAGCATAAATAGTTAATGGAACTTTGATTTGCCCTGTAGACAAGACAGAGCCATAGAAGAATTTCAGGCCTAAGAGTGACATCATCAGTTTGTTAAAGAACACACTCGCTTGACAAATAAGGAGGCCAATTTTGATGTGCAGTTATGAACCGAGTCACAGCAGATATATCTTGATGGATCTAACTAAATCATGGCACTCTTAATCTCTTTATCCACTAATTAACATAGGGTTGGGACGTGCAATCCAGTTCTGGTCAAACGGGTATAAATGGATGTCTAAGGGAGCCTCTGGGAAAGAGTTCTTTCGTAAGAAAGAAATGCTTGAGAAGAAAGCATTTATTGTCCCTTCCTTCTCTTTCTAGATATTACTATATGAAGATGTAACGTTTGGAGCTGCAGGAATCATTTTGGGATCATGAGGCAATCAACCTGAGAATGAAAGCCAATAAGTTGAAGATAGCAGAACAGAAGAAAGAACCTGGATTCTTGGTGACACTTTTGGTCTCCAAAACTACTCTGAGATGGCCAGCTTTGAACTCACCAAGTCAATAATGAAAGCTTGTATGGTTTAAATCATGATTAGTTGGCTTTTTTGTTAATTGCCACAATGTCTTACCTGTGGTCATCACAGTAGAAAAGTGAGGGAGCAAAAATCCTAACCTGCTACAAAGGTCACTCAGAGATAGCCTCTTTTCCATACCCAGACAGGATGCATATCCTTGGTTAATCTTCTATGAGTCTCAGCAGTCTTTATCCTTCCCTTCCACATGTCTCAGCTCCATCAGATGAAGCTTTTTTATTCATCTACATTCTCTTCTTCATTGCTTTCCTTTTCCAATTCTCTCCCAGGCAGAATTCATTTTTCTCATTTGAAGTCTGACATGGTTTGGCTTTGCGTCCTCATCCAAATTTCATCTTGAATTGTAATCCCTGGGAGTTGAGGGAGAGACCTGGTGGGAGGTGACTGGATCATGGGGACAGATTTCCCCCATGCTGTTCTCATGATAGCAAGTGAGTTCTCATGAGATCTGATGGTTTTATAAGGGACTGTTTCCCCTTCACTCTCCCTCCCTTCCCTCCTGCTACCTTGTGAAGAAGTGCCTGCTGCCCCTTCGCCTTCTGCCATGATTGTAAGTTTCCTGAGGCCTCCCAAAGCCATGCAGAACTCCAAGTTAATTAAGCCCAGTCTCAGGTATTTCTTCATAGTAGTAATGAACTTCATAGCAGTAACAGACTAATACAAAGTCTCAGGGTCTTAGTATTTATTATAATAAATTATAGTTCATTCTGAGGCCAGGGGCTCTGTTTTCTTTATCTTAGTGCTTATGGCAGAAAGACTGGCAAATATGAATAATAGGTGCTCAGAAAGTGCGTTTTAAATGGAATTTTGAGAAAGTGTCCCAAATAACATTAAGGAGAATCCTGGGCTTTTTCATGAGCTTCCCCAGATTTGCCTGACTGGCCTCCGAGCTGCTTGCAGAAGGTACAGCTCTGGTGGTGCGCACCTTCTCCTATGGGATAACTGCCTCAGGCATGGCCTCCATTCTGCCCACAAAGTGAGAGCTGTAGCAGAACTGGTTCTCAAGTCAGTCCAACCAGACTGTGGAGTCTTTAGCACCTCCTCCGACTTTCAGATGCAGAGATAGCACTGTGCCTCAGGATGTGGCTTCCCCAGTGGCTGCCTGGAGGGGTCTTTGGTTACACAGCCTGGGCGTGCTGGAGAATTATCACTCTGTAAGGTCTACTTGGACTAAGGAGAGATAGGAGGTGCAAAGGAGCCGTATGTTAAGTCATCTCCCTCACTCCTGGTGGACCACTCTGTGCACCATAATTCCATACAACCCGGTCAAGCAACCCACTGTGTGATCTCATGAAGCTGTAGCCCGCTTCCTGATGCCCCACTTTGCACTTGCTTTCTCTCCATCCCTGATTAACTTCCTTTTTACTCACTCTTGCCGCTCTGGAATTGTACTTCCTTCCTTCTAATACAGTATTAGGCCAGGTGTGGTGGTTCACACCAGCATTTTGGGAGGCCAAGACAGGAGGATCGCTTGAGGCCAGGAGTTCAAATCCAGTCTGATCAACATAGCGAGACCCTGTCTCTACAGAAGAAGAACAAACAACAAATGAAAAAGTAGTCGGGCATAGTGGTGTGTGCCTGGAGACCCAGACACCTGGGAAGCTAAGGTGGGAGGATCACTCGAACCCAGGAGTTGGCTACAGTAAGCCATGAACAAACATTCTGTTTGTTTAAGGAAACTATTATCCATGGGGGCATTTCTTAAAAATTCAATCGGTTCATTTAAAAAATAATCTTAGAGGAGGTGAAGTGAGGTCTCAAGGGCAGCAAATTAACTCCTAGGATAAGCAAACATTTAATTGTCCTTGATTTTTAAAAATTATCAGTTTAAGCTTGATAATGATTCCTTTAAAGTGACATTATTTCCCAACACATCAAGCCTGTGCTGACAAGTTTCTTGAAAGAGAGTTGGAAGAATAATTGGAAGATGCATAATTATTCTTTGCTTGATGTTTGGCTATCTTAATGTGATCTGATGTCAATAAAACTTACAGCTAATGATACACATATCTGAGTTATTTTCCTTTGACAGATGTGAAACACTATGTTACTTTTAAGCATTAGTCTATCACAGATATCTTTTTGATGCAGTTAAATTTGTTTTATATTAAATACATGTAGGAGTTAAATGTAATTAATAGAAATATTCTCAGGGGAAAAAATGAGGTTTGAATGTCAGTGGCAGCTTAATCAGCATGGATTTGTAGATGCCTCTGACTATAGGGGTCTGAAATCATTAACCCAAATAAATAAAAAGGATAATTTACAGTAGAGATATTAACCTACTTAATCTTATCTGACATAAGAAGCAACGTTTAAAAATGTTAGTGTATTGCTGAACCACCCAGAACAGAAACACATATGCAAATTGAAGAAGAAAAAAGAGTAACTGTTGGGTCTGGAAAGGACCCACAGGGGAACTGCACAAGTTGAGAACCTACCACGGTAAAAACGGAGTACCACAAACCTAACAAAGATGGCAATCTTGATAATTTAAATTACAAATGATTTGATCATACTCTCTTGAGAACTCCCCCATATGAGATTGCCAAATAATAGCATTCATACTGAAATATGTACATCTTAAATGCAGCCAGCTCTCAATCATCCCACAAATTGATGAGAGTACAGTGGAGCCAGGCAAGGCGGCTCATACCTGTAATCCCAGCACTTTTGGAGGCCGAAGCAGGAAGATCACTTGAAGCCAAGAGTTTGAGGCCAGCCTGGGCAGCGTAGCGAAACCCTGTCTCTACACAAAAACTAAAAAATTAGCTGGGTCTCATGGCACTACGAACCTGTAGTCCTAGCTACTTGGGAGGCTGAGGAGGGAGGATCACTTAAGCCCAGGAGTTTGAGGCTGCAGTGAGCTGTTACCAAGCCACTGCATTCTGGCCTGGGTAACAGAGTGAGACCTTATCTCTAAAAAAAGTTACTAAATAAATATGAAAGAAATGAGTGTATAGTGGACCCAAAATCAATCAGCAAATTTGTTAAATGCTAATTATGAGGATTAAAAAGGAAACTTTTGCCAAAAAACCACTGCCTGGGTTCCTCCAGCTGTGGTCCCTGATCAACCTGGAAATTGCTAACACCACTTACAACCTGCTTTATGATTGAGCTTGCCCACTCACCAGCCCCTCTGGAAAAGGAAAGATAATATGAACTAGGGAGGGAGTGGTAAGGGGGTAGGATGGTTCCAGGAGCAGAATTTTTAGAAGGCAATGGCCACTGGGTGCAGTGGCTCACGCCTGTAATCCCAGCACTTTGGGAGACTGAGGCGGGTGGATCACGAGCTCAAGAGATTGAGATCGTCCTGGCCAACATAGTGAAACCCTGTCTCTACTAAAAATACAAAAATTAGCCAGGTGTGGTGGCTCATGCCTGTAGTCCCAGCTACTCAAGAGGCTGAGGCAGGAGAATCGCTTGAACCTGGGAGGCGGAGGTTGCAGTGAGCCGAGATCACACCATTGCACTCCAGCCTGGCAACAGAGCAAGTCTCCGTCTCAAAAAAAAGAAGGCAATGGCCAGTGACCCAACTGTTGTTCTAAAACAAGAGCAATGAATGAAGAAAAGTCTTTAGTTACTTAGAAACAGTCACGGTGTTCTTCAAAAGAGTAGTTTCAGACATTCCAACTTCTGGCCATGAAGTAGCTGGAGTAGTTATTTACCTTGAATAACTTGAAAAACAGACAAAATATATGAAACAGCTGTTTCCAGACTTTGGACAATAGGTAATATGGGACTGTGATCCCTGAGAGAAGGTGGCCTTGAAATCCCTGGGCTTTCTGCCTGAAGACGCATGTCTGGCAATGGAGAAGGGACGGGGACCCATGTAAGACAACAATGGTCTTATTGAGTTGAGGAGCCCAAGATCAGAATTCAGGAGGGTCGAAGTAGCTGGAAATTGTAGGGCAGAGTTACAGAGTTTCTCTCTCAGAAAGAGAGTTCGGAAATCTGCGTGGTGTCGTTTTGAGCCTTTGCTGAATATGGTGAAACTCCACTGAAGTAAGAGAGATTGAGAACTGAACAGCAGTTCCTGAGCTTACAAAGGGCTGGAAATTGCTCAAGGGCTGACCAGCCAGAGGCGAGTGTCCTCACTGATCGCTAGGAACATTCAGTGGAAGCACTAGCAGCGTCATGCCTTAGAAATGTCATTCCTGGGATAAAAGCTACTTTAGATCTGCCCTAACAAAGCTTAAAAACAAACCGCAAAAGGGCCAAACTAAACCAAGTACCTTTCTGCCTGCCACTACAAAACTCAACAGTCTTTGAAGGAAGATAGTAAGATCTAGGTACTCGATAATGCAAAACTTACAACGTTCAGCATCCAATTAAAAAATGCCTAAACATGGCAAGAAGCAGAAATATGTGACCCATAATCAGAAAACTAATCACTCAGAGGAAACAGACCCAGAAATGACAGAGAGAATTAGCAGAGAATGTTAAAACACCTATTATAACTCTTTTTGACTACTTAAATGAAAACATGACAAAGTGAGGAAAGAAATTGAAGACATTAAAAAGAGAGAGAGAGAACTTTCAGGAGAATGCCACCATACTGAAAAAAGAAAGGAGGGAAGCCAATAAAATGAAGTTAGAGGACAAAGACCATTTATTCAAGAAGTACGGCTGGAAAGACAGACGGGTGGCAAGGCAAAGGCTAGGCTATTGTTTGGTTTTCCTAGAAAAAAAAAGAGAGAGGCTATAAAAGAAAGCAAAAGAAGAAGCAGTTGAGAAAGAATACTTTATGAGAGGTTAATGGTTCTAGGAAGCTTAAGAAAGAAAACTTATCTCTAAAGAGAAGAGGAATGATTTTATCCTGAGATAATGGAAAGAGGTAAACATAAAATGGAGACAGAAAGTTCAAGGGAATTAAACAAGGCCAGGGTAACTAAGGGAGTCTCAGTAAACAGGAAGCAAAATCCTTCACTAAAAGGTGGTAGTTTTGGGGAGAGCAATGTGTGGAAAAAAAAAAAAAAAAGGGAGAAGAGGGAGCTTGAACTAGAGACTGTGGGAAACAAGCCTCAGAGAAAATCTAAGAGATAAATGATGAAATCCCAGCACTTTGGGAGGCCAAGGTGGGCCGATCGCTTGAGCCCAGGAATTCGAGACCAGCCTGAGTAACATAGTGAGGCCCTCATCTCTACTAAAAATAAAAAAATAAAAATTAGCCGGGCATGGTGGCGCATCCCTGTCACCCCAGCTACTTGAGAGGCTAAGGTGAGAGGATCATATGAGCCTGGGAGTTGGAGGCTGTGGTGAGCTGTGATTGTGCCACTGCTCTCTAGGCTGGGGGCAGAATGAGACCCTGTCTCAAAAATGAAAATGAAAATTTAAAAAGAGATGAATAAAAGGATTGCAAAGGTATAGCTCAAAATAACCCCACTTCCCCAATTGGAAACCAGAATTAACAGAAGGAAATAAGTAAATGGAAAGGAAAAGTGAATTGAGTTAAAATGTTAAAAAGAAAATCATTGTCCTTTTTATTTTAGTGTACTAAATCCTAGTGAACTTTCTGGAAGAATAAAGATACCGAAGGAGGAGCACTGTGAAGAAACAGTAAACTGGGAAAGCAGGAAAATAAGTGGGAAAAACTTTGGACCCACCAGACAAGAATAGAATGGTTGTAATCTTCCGTCTACCAAAATTTTATTTTTATAAAATTACATTTGTGAACTTGGATAATAAAGCTGTGTATAACTGACAATTGGTTGTAATAAAAATGACAAAGTCAGTTACATTTCTGTGTTGTGTAGTAAGGTAAATCGGGTCAGGACCCAGAAGACCTAATGTTGTGTGTGACCTCTGACTTGGCCATCTTTGAGGGCTAATCATTCTGTCTCTCTGCGTTTGTTTCTACATGCATAAAATGGGCAAAATGCTAGTTATGCCTCCTCCATATGAATTTGCACAAATCAAATGAGAGTATAAATGAAAACACTTTGCATGCTGCTAAATGTTATGAAAGAAGATATGTCTATACCTTTTTTGGGCTATCTATCCAGTTTACAGTGACTCTTCTTTCTCTGGCTGTTGGCTTTCCAGCCACTGGGATGCCTCTACCTCCCCATAGGATTGACTCTATCACTCCACCCACCTACCCGCAATTAACTAGACCAGGATTAAACATCTGATCCTAGAGGAGTCCATCAGATTCTCCCTCCTGAGAATTTAGAAATGCGGCCAAGACTATTCAATTTGGACTGATAGCTTGAACAGAAATGTAAACTTTGGAGCAATGGGTTGGTCATCTGCTGCTGGCCAAGGGCATGGAGACACAGAGAAGGCCAGCTGCAGAAAGAACGAAGCCAACAAGCCCGGGGAGGCTCCCAGAAGAGGAAGAGAGGGAACAGAGACGTCTGACAGCCGTGCACCACCCAGTCTTCCTCCTGAGGCCTGATGGCTTTACTGACCTGAGAGTCTGTAAACCACTCCTGTGTCCTATGAATAGAATCTGTTTTATTGTCATAATCTGGCTCACATGTTTTTCTGTAATTTTCAATGGAAGATTTGAACTAAGGCAGTGTAATGGGTTGAAGAGTGTCTCTCCAGATTCATGTCTCCCAGAACCTCAGAGTGTGACTTTATTTGGAAATACAGTCTTTGCAGATATAATTAGTTACGTTAAAATGAGGTAAGACTGGATTAGAGTGGGCTTGAATCCAACAACTGGTATCCTTATAAGAATAAAAGAAGACACAGAAATACACACTGAGAAGAAGCCCATATGAAGACACAGGATGCAGAAACTGGCGTTCCGCCGTTTCTGGGGCCACCAGAGGTTTGAAGAAGCAAAGAAGGATTCTCCCCTACCGACTTCTGAGGGAGCACAGCCTGCTGATAACTTGAGTGTAGACCTCCAGCTCCAGAACTGTGAGAGGATGCATTTCTGTTATTTTAAGCCACCCAGTTTGTGGTGCTTAGTCACAGCAGCCCTAGGGAAGTCACAGAAGCACTAGAACAGGAGGGTTTACCTCAGAATTGCTCTTTTCAAACTAGACTCTA